CTCAATCGAACGTCAGGAAATGGTATTGAAATATGGTACTATTTTAAGGTACCACTTTATATGCATCATAGTACCATCATATTACAATGTATACCAAGTTTAAGCCCTATTGCTGCCATGTACCTAATATTGCTATGTCATCAAATATGGTACTATAGAAAGTACCACTTTATATGCTCCATGGTACCATGATATTACAATGTCACTGAAGATATAGTATATCAAGTTTAAGCCCAATCGAACGCCATGTATCGTAATATGCTGGAAAAGGACGATCGATGTTTCCCATATAAATTTCCCATATAAATTTATATATAAAATGACAGCGATATTCATTTCATAGCCATCGCTAACGCCGTTTTTTCCCAATTATACGATATGAACTTGGTATGAACACAATCGAACGTCAGGAAGTGGTATCATAATAGTAGAACAATACTTATTATATTGTCGCCGAATTACAATGAAAATTCAGGATTCAATTATACAATCAAACGTCAAGAATTGATTGTAATATAGCTCATAAGATTTAATTCCAACTAACATGGCAAATTGAAAAAAACAGCTCTGATCTATTTTAATAGGGGTAGGCTTTATCAGGAAGTATTAAGATATGAATTACACAATGGCAACACAGCACAAAATTCTTTTAAATTTTGTTTGTAGAAAACTGTTTTCTTTTAAATTTATTGCCCTCTATTATGTAGTAGCGAAACTACCGCATCAAAATATCTGATTTGGATACAGGCTTTAAAAGCCTGTCTCCTTTTGCTACCTACAATTTTATACATGTAACGAGGCTTCTGTTGCGTAGCTAGATATTCTGTGGTATTATTATCAAAATATTGATAAAGTCAGTTTAGAGACAGGTTTATCTATTAAAAAAAACATTGGGGTGCTATTCTGACTAGAAATAGAAATATGTCTGTTATTTGTATAATGTTAGTGTTATAATTCTTTTTCACATCTACAGATTTCTCAAATAAAAAGCTTTATTCTGAACGCACTTGCAGACATTTATTTTATTTATGGCGATGAATAATGTAATAAATGAATATTTAATTTATTTGTACTTATCATTTGGATTTAGTCCATGGTACGGTGTGTGGTATGTAGCCTGTCTGCGTTCTTCACTTATGACTTTTAAACTGCCCCGACAATTGAATCTGTACAGGGTGTGCCAAAATGTGCTATCATAAATAAATTCTTTGTATTATACGTTTCACGCTATGCTTCGGCAGTTTTGCTGTAAAACTGAATGATCCCGTTAGTCCTCTGTCCTAATTCACCTTAAGTAAAACAGTACATTTTTTTGTCTACACACAATGTTTTACTTGATACGTTTAGACTGAATAGGTAAAACGTTACGTGTAGACGGGGCTTTAAAGCATTCGTCTTCTTACGACTCTGTTTGAACAACATAAAAAAATTGTTTAGACAAAATCTTCGACGCGACGGCCATAAATAAACTCGACGTTTCTTGCAGCCTTCCCAACTTTATCAGATTAACGCCATCTATCTGCCCACTTCAATCTGAATGCGCCAAATCAAATTTCCGCATTGCCGTTTTCGACTAACTCTATGCCGTTTCTTTCTCACAGAAAACACTTTGCTGATTGATAAATAAACCGTAAAAACCCGAATAGAATTACTGGTTTTATGCTTCGTCTAATAGAATATAAAAACTGGTTATATCAAATAAGAAAATTGCACACCGAATACCTACCCACAGTCTAGATTTTTTATTTCAATTTCAGGAAAATCATAAATTACGATGACAACTAGTTTACCCAGAAAAAAAAATGTTCTCAATTTAAAATAATAAAATTGTTTTTAAATATTTATTTTTTGATCTTATCTCCTATTTATTTAAAGCCTCGTCTACACATAACGTTTTTTCTTAAGGTGCGTTCACACCGGAGCTTTAAAACTTAACAATGACGGGGGTTAAAACATTGAATACTGAAATTCAAATACAGTATAATAATAAAAAATATATAAATATAACAATCAAATAATTTCCCCGGAAGATGGATTGGAAATGGTGGAGCAGTATAATGGCCAGCGAGGTTCCTGGATCTGTCACCAAGAGGCGGGGGCACTACTTGACGTCATTTGTAAAAGTGAAATCAAACCTCAATATTTACAACCAAGAGTACAAAATGCATTCGGAAGTATAAGAAGATCTGTTGAAAGGGCTATACATAAAATTAAACGAAAAATAAATGTGTGCAATGGGGATGGTGGTAACCCTTTCGAACATCTAGAGCATTAGAAACTAGTTTGCTAAGTTGATATATTTATAATAACTACGATTAATATTATGCATATTATTAGATCGTGCATTGAGATTTCCAAATTCACAATAAAAAAAAGTTAAAAATAATATCTTTAAATTGCTGACATGCAGATATTATTTATTTGAATCTTTCAATTGACTCGATTTTCCTTATTCAATGTTAATTATTGCTCATCAATATTGTTGTGATGAATATAATCCAGGTTAAATAATTTAAAAATCTAGAGTCGGACTTGAAATTATTTTAAATAAAATTAATAGGTTTGTTGTTGTTAAAGTACTCAAAAGAAAAAAATATATAAAGTGCTGTATATCGTTGTACTCAGGAGACTGAATTCTTTCAAAACCTGAAATCAAAAATGCAGGTCCGTATTTAAAAAAAATAAGTTGGCCTATGTATCTCACAAATTATCAGCTAATTTGAAAATCTAAAAATACTATCAGATAGCCTTGATAAAGTGGCTATGCGAATGTGCAATTAGTTTTTGATTTCCTAAAAAGTAACGACAGGAAAAAATAAAATTTATTTTCAAAAAATCCGTTTTCCTTAAAAAACTCAGCAATAGTTGAAATTTGTGAAACTTTTTTGACAGCATGTTTGCGAACATCCCAACATGCAACTTTACCGCAATTTAACCATCTTCGTATCTATTATGGTTTTTGAGATACCAATACTCGTACCTCGAATTTGTAGCACCCTGTATAGTGAGAAAATAAATTCGTTAAATGTTTTATCGTGAGTTTAAATTAGTGGACCCACGGAATCCGTAACAATATCTATATCCTTTTTTTCCCTTTTATGACGCAAATTGGTTAATTCTTAGTCCGATAGAATATTATTTTATATCCCCTTGATTTTTTTAAGGTACAATTTACCGAAAATATACGCGATATAAGCCAAAACTCATTACGAAAAGTCCTTTTAAATCCTTTTAAACCATTTATACGATCCGGTAGTATTGAACCGAACAGAATCGTATGCGTCACACCTCTATTCAAACGCGTCTCTTTTTGCCAAAGGGCATTCATTGGCCGGATTCCAGACGAATTCATTTTGATGGACCCAAAAAAGGGACAAAAAGAGTGTTTTTATGACGGGACACGTTTGGATCGTAATGTTTGAAAAATTAGGTCGGGAACTGTTTTATAGGATTAAAGATGAACGTATTATGAAAGGTATTTTACTCTTTTCGAGCCCTTTATATAGGTTTTAAATTTCTGGGTTCGTATTTTTCATCAGACAAGTAAAAAGTGTTATTAATAGAGCATGTCATCCTTTTTGAGAAAGTATAGTTTTATATAAGTATATATTGTTTTAAATTATTTCTCGTTTATTTTAATATTGGTTTTGTGTAAAGTGTATAAATCTGGAGAGACATTTTTGAGGACATTTTGTCAGGACTTGAACATAGTGAGATTATTATGGATCATTAGAAGTATAGGAATTGTATAAAGTAATATAATGTAATACACTCACCGGCAAAAAAACCGGCCACTAAAAACTAGTCTCAATTTCAGAGTTGGATTTCTCGCGAACCACTCATTAGATTTTGATGATTTTTTTATAAATTGTAAATTAATTCCTTCTTAACGTCAGAAATTTGTATTCCGAATTTATTTTGAGCATATACAGGGTACAACAATAAGACGAAGTTTTTTGCTCGAACTTTGTGACACCCTGTAGGGTGCAGCAGCTGTAGTAGCTATTGCTAAATTAAATCACATTGTAGCCTCATCTTTTGTGAGCATTTTGTTTTTTTAATCACGATATTATCTCTGTTTGTATTGGAGATACGCTGCTTTAAAACGAACGTCTCGGAAAAATGCTTTGCAAGCAAAACCGCGACCACACCAATTCACTTGTAAACGCGCAAACTGAAAACATGCTCGACGATGTCTTGGAAGTAGCTGTGGTCCTGTGGCAGGCTCCTTGCAGACAAGCTGTTTTCTTTTAGTCTTCGTTGGATTGTTCTCTCACTGACTTGAGTTCTACGCACGGCTTGTAGCAGATGTTGATTCTGAAACGCTGTAATTCTACGATTTCGTAAAGTATTCAGGATAATAAAGCGGTCGTCAATTGCATTTGTCTTCCGTTTTCTTCCGGAACCCACTCGGTGAAATTTCCCGTTTCCATATACCCGTTCCAGGCATCCTGGACTGTTGTTCGAGGTATGCCCAGGGCAAGGATATATAGAAGAAGGATATTCAACTCCCTATAGCGGGCTATGTTGGAAAATATGCCGTATTTTGTCGAGGAAGACGATTTCGTCACGACCAATGAGCGTCGAGTATTTGAAATTGAAAACATATAAATTGACGGTAACCTATGTTTTTTGACTCTGTGTTTTGACTCATTTCACTGACAGATGTGATGAGATTATTATTGTAATTTATAGATCCAAACGTTTTTTGAAAAAATAATGTATTTTAAAGTTATTTCCTAGAGTTTGGTTTGGCCTTCTATATTCTGGTATTTGTCTACTAATAAATAATATCTTATTTTGTATTTCGATGTATGGAAATCCGCAAGTTTTGTATCTGAAGCCGCAAAGAAATTTCGCTCTATAGTGAGAAAAATGTTATTATATCTTTTTAGACGTGTAGAATTACAAAATTTCTTATTTCAGATGTTCTAAATGTGAGTGCATGTCAAAAAATTTAAATATATACTTAAAATATTATTTCAAGTTATATGCTTTGACATTTTTTGGAAGTAAACAAATATTGAAGAAAGTGTTGTGCCTTCACAGAATTTAAATTGGCATTAGGAATAGATTTCCTTGATTTAGTAATGATATTGCTCATAGAAATTGATAATGTGAAGAATAACAATACAGGAACATAGAATAACAAGAAAGAAATTCTAGCAGCAAGTTAGGTTATGAGATAAATTTTATTTATATAGTTTGTTTAAAGAGTTTAGTTTGAAAAAAGGTAAAACAATTATTATTGTCCAGGTCATATTTGATAACTGTTGTTAATTGATAACATATTACAGGGACACAGTAAAAAGACAAAACATTTAGACCCTTTGAAAGAGAAATGTTTGCAATGGATATTAATAAATTCTAGCCAATTTGTACGATGTACAATGCAGGCAATATTTCTGCCTCCCCCGCTATTCGCGTAAAAGAAGATGTGGGTATTGTATTTATAGGTAGTTAATGATACATGGAATATATTTCTATATTATTGCAATAATGATGTCTTTATGTATGTATTTTTTTACAACAGATTTATTATTAGTTGGCTAGTGTGTTAGTAGGATAGCCATTGGTAGTTATAAAGTATGAAGTCGTCAGGTATTAATAATAGGAATTGATCAAAGCTTATACATTTATTGTGATATTTATATTGTGAATTTAAGTAGTTAGTTTTGGTTGTTTAATAAACGAATTAATGTGCTTATTGTGTTTCTAATTAAAAAGAACAATGAAAAGTTGAATACCATAGGGGTACGTATGTTATACAAAGAATTTGCATCAACATTTTTTTGGTTATATACTTGTACTGATATTTGTTTCTTGAACTAAAGAATTATACAGTACCTACTACACAATATAATAATCTGCAGCTACATAGGTAGGTAGCTGTTGGTAATTAAATTTTTTATCTAATATAATATCTAACATCAGAAATATTGTTAATTATCAACTATAAACAACTAAGAACTAGAATTATCAACTATAAACACAATATAATATACTGTATCTTAAGCAATATGTAATTATTTAACAATTATTTTTTTTGGGAAATAAAAACTGGTACTAAATTCTTTTTGACTATTTAATTTCTAAGTCACAAATAATGGTGGACAAATAGCAAGAAAATTATACAAGTAAAACATAATTTTAACTTATTTCTCTAATGGAATTTTGGTATTGATCTACTTAGTAGGATATGCAGTTTATCATATTTTTGAATATTTATATTCAATATTGTTCAGGAACAGCCCAATTACTCTGAAAAAAAAATATATGGTCAAATTCTTTGAAAAGAAACTTTTAAAATCAGTAATGATAAAAAAATATATAATTGTTGTATAGCAGAACCAGGGGACACAGAATTAGGGGAATTAACAATAGATTATTAAAAACTGCCTTCTCTTAAAAAAGTAGTATTATATGCACTTAGAAAGACTATAAAGGATATAAGTACGCATAGAAAGAAAGTAAGTATCTATACTACTGATATATATATATAACTATATATGAATACGATACCTACAGTATACAATATTACTAGTATAAAAATAACAGCACAGTCGGCACACTTTAAAATAAAAAAGCAGCATAATATTCAGGTATGTATATAAGTAAAATTTTCTCAAAAATATTAGAATATGAAATAAATTGCAACTAAATTTTAATTAATAAACATAAACAAATAAAATTGTCAGTGTTATTAAAACTTTATGTAAATATATGTTACCTTAATACTTTGTCTTTAATCCTACTCTTCTGACATGGCTTTTCAAACTTATGCCCAAATCTCAATTCTTGTTATTAAGAATAATATTTATGAACTTTTGTTTCCATATTAATTTCAATATATTTGAATAAAACTGGAAAAATAATCAATATTGGCACTTGAAATTTTAACTTCTTATGTCCTTAAATTATTTATATTGTGTTATACATAATACTTACATAAATATTCAATTTAAAAATAGATCAGCACTTGAACGAGTGAATATAAAATAGTATATTATCAATTTCTATGAGCAATATTATTACTAAATCAAGGAAATCTATTCCTAATGCCAATTTAAATTCTGTGAAGGCACAACACTTTCTTCAATATTTGTTTACTTCCAAAGGGCAAAGGGTATAACTTGAAATATTTCAAGTATATATTTTAATTTTTGACATTAAGCATCACATTTAGAACATCTTAAATAAGAAATTTTGTTATTCTACGCGTCTAAAAAGATATAACATTTTCTCACTACAGAGCGAAATTTCTTTGCGGCTTCAGATACAAAACTTGCGGATTTCCATACATCGAAATACAAAATAAGATATTATTTATTAGTAGACAAATACCAGAATATAGAAGGCCAAACCAAACTCTAGGAAATAACTTTAAAATACATTATTTTTTTCAAAAACGTTTGGATCTATAAATTACAATAATAATCTCATCACATCTGTCAGTGAAATGAGTCAAAAAACATAGGTTACCGTCAATTTATATGTTTTCAATTTCAAATACTCGACGCCCATTGGTCGTGACGAAATCGACTTCCTCGACAAAATACGGCACGTTTTTTTTGGGCCAGTCGAATATCCTTATTCTATATATCCTTGGCCCAGGGTATCGGACACAACGTTGACTTCGGCCATCCTCAATTAAAGCCACAATACGAGAAACATCCGTCACAGTTAATTGCATTTTTTAATTTGACAACCGTCGTTTAGTTGTCATATTGCAAATACTCATAAATCCGTTTTCGCCTTGATTATTTACACATAAAACTTTCTGCCTGCGAAGCATTTTTCCGAGACGTTCGTTTTAAACCAGCGTATTTCCAATAAAAAGAAAGATAATGCAGTGATTAAAAAAACAAAATGCTCACAAAAGATGAGGCTACAATGTGATTTGATTTAGCAATAGCTACTACAGCTGCGGCACCCTACAGGGTGTTACAAAGTTCGGACAAAAAACTTCGTTTTATTGTTGTGCCCTGTATATGCTCAAAATAAATTCGGAATAAAAATTTCTGACGTAGCATCAATTAACAAAGAATTAATTTACAATTTTAAAAAAAATCATTAAAATCTAATGAGTGGTTCGCGAGAAATCCAACTTTGAAATTGGGACTAGTTTTTAGTGGTCGGTTTTTTTGCCGGTGAGTTTATGTATAAATTGAAAATAACCGAGATACAGGAGGTTTTATTTTTAATAGAACCATCCGATGAGGAAGAAAAAGATGAACGCTTACGCAGGAATTTGCAAGGCACCTTAAGAAGAAGAATGCAAATACACCACCTGTAAAGAAATAAATATAGAACATTTGTCTAAGGAAAATTTTTATATTTAAATATATTGAATCAGCATTTCTATCTTAATTTTATGCATTAGTCGGGAAAACTTTTTTCCTTGCACTTATTTAAGAAATACCTTGTATAATACGCAATCTGCGAGCACTACTAATTTATCTTAACCGGGGCAGCGACAGTACCGAGTACCGACTTTAATCGTGTCGATTTATCAAAGAACCACCGACCACCGCCTCCTATAAGTAGTAAACAGAGACACACAGAGAGATGCGAGCCGCTATATCGGTACTCTCAAGCCGGATGGTCACTTCCCGTTGGGTACGGCCCTCCGACGTTGTACTTCTCGGTCAACGAGTTCCAGATGTTCTTCCTGGTCGAGCGAGACGACGCGGAGCCAGTTCTTTTGTCGGCGCTAAGGAGGGGCGCGGACGGTCCGATTTGTCGGGCGGCAAGTCGGGCAGACTATGCTATAAACATGCTATGCAACGGCCCAGCTACGTCGAAACACCGGTTCCCATTAGAACACTGAAGTTAAGCGACTTAATGCGATACTAGTAGATGGGCAGGTGGCCGGTTTGAAACTCTGTATCGTGCTGTTGTCCAATAAAGGCAAAAGTGTAAAATCTATTGACACACACTGCTCATTCACGCCGGTTCGAGGCCGGATGAGATCGGATATCTCGTGAGTAAGAGTTGATTTAGATACTTGGCAGCAAAAAGGAGACATTAACTGAAATCTTTACTTTACTTTTTATGTTATAAAAAATAAGGTGAACAGAAGGAACTAATCTAAATATCGAAGTTGGGTGTAGTCAAGCGTGAGGAACATCCAAGATTACCTTTTTCTTTTATTGGTGAAGTATAAAATGCAAAAATATTTTCCTTAACGCCAATTTGCGTTTTCAATGAAGCATGAGCCTGCAACGGGTCCAATTTTTTCTTTTCTTGAAATCATTAAAGAAACAATTAAAAAAATAGAGAATTCTGATACCCAGGGAAATAATTATTTAAGGTAACTTTTTAATTCCATTTTAATCCATGTAGGTATATTAAAATATTATATACATATATGTATAACAAATTTACACAACCTAAGTAAAAAATTCAGATACATTATTTTCTTAATCAGTTTCAGATAAACCAATCTTTTATCCACTACTGTTAGTAACAATTTCAAGTTTATTTTTTATATAAATGCACTAGGAAACGTGAAAATAAAAAATGTATTTCTTTATGCCAATTTACGATTTAAATGAAGCATGAGTAATTACAGTTGAGATAATTGTAATGAGTAATTGTTAGAAATTAATTCATTAATTTTATTATTTTTATATTAAAATCTATAAGAAGTTATGGAATCTAGTAGAAAGAATGAGAATTCACTGCCTACACTTTTTTTTATTATTGTTTTATATGGTATGAGATTGGTGACTATTACTCTACAATTATTATATATCATCGATTAGTAAATAGATATTATTATGGAATATGTAGTCGTGTAACAGTTATTCGTGGAATTATTTTATTGTTTTTTATTACACATATATGTATTAGAAGCTTATTAGTATATTCGGTATGAAATTATATAGTTTCAAGAAATTAAGCGTTAATAGTTATTTATTATGAACATTATTAAACCATGAATGTCAAAATACAAAAAGTGTAAATAATAACAATAGTGAACCGAAAATTAATAAATATCGATTTTGGACATTGAAAATTCTTATCAACCCATAGTATTCAAAAAAGCTGTATTTATTTATGATATAAAATAGAGGGTCTTCCATTTGGAATGATTTGGAACAAACAGCATCTATTAGTTTTGATTCACCTGATATTACATCAATCATACATATCTTGTATTTTTTTTTGTATAACTGTCTTGAAGAGGATACAATTATAAAATGTCTTTACTTAAATAGCATGAATAATTGAGATTTTTTAGAGTATGGTTGTTTTTTAATATTTTTAAAATAGGGATTTTACGACAAATCCCATAAAAAAACAAAAAAATACATAACATTCCATTTAAAAAAATAGAATTTTAGTGTCAAAATAACTATGAAACCTTTATTATACACATTCTCAAAATTATATAGATATTCTGCCGAAGCATGTGTTCACCCGCATCTACCACTGAATAAAAATACATCATTATTCATGCAAATATCAGTAATTTGTATTCATTGCTCTCATGCAAATATTTACGATGACAGTTTAACACGGCAGTTTCGCACTGGTACCAACATATTTGAATGTTATAATTTATTTTTTTTGTTCTTGATTGAGTATCTGTCCTAAAAATATATTGGGAGAACGTAGTTGGAGTTGTTACGTTAGTTTGGGTAAAGTCACTTGGACTGGCTCGGAACTCGTAAGTTGTTTGTCCAGACGTTGCCATCA